TCAATCAAACCGGGATCAGAAACAGCCGGACCCGCCAAAACGTCTAGAAACCCGATACAGCCTGTCGCTGGTGCCACTAGACCCTCAGACTACAACTGGTGCAACTAGTTACGATGTCTAAGAAATGAAGCCGATCAGTTGAATTAACTAACATTCACTTCAAAGGAAAACGCTAGATTCGGCCCCGGACAAATAAGCTGTTTTTTTTTTTTTGGAGGGGGTGGGGGTATCCGTTATCAGTGAAAGGATTATAGGATCTAAAAAGCCCCAAGTCGCAACATTAACTCGTGAATTTTAGCCTACTTTCGCAAGAAAGAATGAATCTTGCTAGCCTGAGCCAGTACGTTCGTGTTTGTGTGCGCATCTACACAGAGGTTTGCTCCCAGGCTAATATAGGATGAAGATTAAATGGCTGAGTTAAGGTAATGGCCACAATTTTACCAAGCACGTCGAGAAGGGAAAAAAGGCAGATCTGCTGTGCTATCTGTCAGTTGTTCTAATGATCTGGGGGGAAGAGACGGGGGAAGAGGCAGGGATGGGAAATTTGAGGGTGTGTGTGGGGGTGGGGGAGAGGAGAGACCCCGTAAAATGGAGAAAAAAAAAGAACAGTGAAAATAAAATAATAAAGTTAAAGGTCTGCCGATCAATGAATCAACAAAAACAAAACTGAGTCAAAACAAAATACTCGAACGCCCCCCCCCAAATGAGGAGAAATTGATAAATAAATAAAACGAGGAAACAAAGTCAGGGAACAAAATTAAAAATCAAAAACAAAACGACCGCTAGTTTTCCTTTTTCCTAAAATTCTGATCTCCAGTTTCCATATGTAGCCTCTAGCGCGGAAGAGGGTTCCGTCGAAAAGAGGGATCAGCGGTCGGAAAAGGCGACGACGATCCGGGAAGAGCGCGATGCGTCCGCCGCGACCAGCCCACCATCACTCGACATTCAGCCGGGAGGAAGAGGACGAGGCGCCGGGACCGCTCGCCGCCCGTGCCGCTGTTCCTGGAGCCGCTTCTGCCCGACAACACAAATCCGTACCGCCAAAAGCGCTGCTCCTAGGATCGCGTCGCCGCCCGTACAGCCCTTGCGCCATTAAAAAGAAATAAATGAAAAATCCTTTTTTTGCGTGTGTTGCCTCCCTTGTAGTGTTTTTTTTTCCCCCGTCCGTCGTCCGCTCAGATGGAGAAGAGTGGAGAGTAGAGAGAAGGAGGAAGAGGAGGAGGGGAGGTGGTGGTGGTGGGGGGGTTGAGCGCGGAGGGGGTTGGGGGGGGGCTGCCGGGTTGAGAGAGAAATTATACAACCACCACAAGAGAAGATCCGCGGCACGCCACGCCACGCCAAACCCACACCACGCAGCCCGAGCTCGGAACAGGAGGGGCGCCCGATTGGAGCCGCTGTGTCCAGCCCGTCAGTGCCGCACAGCCGCTTGTCCTCTTCCCGGGCGACGGCTGTTTATTTCATTCAGTCATTCATTCACCCACCGTCTCTCAAGCTCGACTTTCCCCCGCCCGCTTTCGGGGGGCCGTTTCACATGAGCGCCGCGCTGATCTTCGAGTGTGAAGCCCCTTCGCCGAGCGCTTGCCGCTGGGAAGCCGAGCTGGAGAATATGAAAGATTTTAATTCCATTTCGGGAGAGAGAGGGGGAGAGGAGGAGGGGGTGGCGGACTGAGCTACGGAGGAGACGGTTGTGTGTATCTCTCTCTGTGTGTGTGTGTGTACGGGGGGTGGGCAGTGAGAGACGCGGAGTGGAGGTATTTTTTGAGAGAAATGAAGGCGTGCTTGCAGGCAGGGGATGTGTGTGTGTGTGGAGGGGGGGGGGTCGTTCGTATTTCGTATCGGACTCCCCCCTTTTTTTCGGGCGACACAGTGACCCCTTACTTCTTTGGGAAATTCATCCGAGCCGAAATGTAGGGGGGTCGTTTCCTTTTGCACCCCTCTCTCTCTCTGTTACCGTCTTCAGATCTTCCCGTCGATCTTATTGACGCGCCTCTCGAATTGACATCTTCTCCCGTTTGTTTAATGACTTAATTATTCATCCGTCGGCCGCGTTGAGTCTGTTGACGGAGGGGCGCTGCTCAGCTCTCCCCGCCGCGAAACCGAAGAGCCTCCTGCCCGATTTGAAATCTAACCATTGCTGAGAAGTTTTTTTTTTTCTCAGTTTTTATTACGACGCCCAGCAGACGCGAAGAAGCCGGTCCACTCTTTTTTTCGAGTGTATTTCTTTGAACAATTCCCAGCGGGGTTTTTTTTTGTCTCTCTCTCTCTCCCCCCTTTCCAACCCCTCCTTCGCCTCTTCCTCTGCAGCGCTGCTCCTCTCCGCCTCGGACGGCCGGGGCTGGGGTTCCGCGGGGTCCGGCCGGCTCTAGTCCGCCCGCGTCACGGCGAGCGTGGTGCTGAAAGGGACAGCTCCCCGGCGGCTGACTCCCCCTCCCGTCCCTCGCTCCAGAAGCCGAGGCGCCGGCTGTGCGGCCGCCAGTGCCGTCGCCAAGCAGGGAGAGCGCGGCGGCGGCGGCGTCCAGCCCCGGTCGTCGCCCGGAGAAATCTTCCGTCTTGGCGAGGGAAGAGGAAAGAAAGACGCCCTACCCCCCACGCACACACACACCTTTTTAAAAAAATCCTTCGCTCGCCTTGAAGTCGAGTCGGAGCCACCCCTATTTCCCTATCCCTCTCACTCTTCTCCGTTATTTCCCCTATTTTAGTGGGGTTTTTTCTGCACTTTGTCGTCCCTCCTTCCCTTTCTCCTTCTCTCTCTCTCGCGAACACACTTTCTTTATCACTCTTCCTCTACCTTTCTCTCTCTCTCTCTCTAGCGCTCTCTCTCTCTCTCCCGGAGCCCTGGCTCTCCGGTGATAATGTGAGAAAACCCTTTGGCGGACGGACTGGCGAAAAAAGGCGTAGCCTAACTCTCTCTCTCTCTCTCTTCGTTCACTCGCTCTCACTCTCGCCTTTTCTCCCCGTCTCTCTCACTCGTCAGCCCCCCCCCCACACACACGCACACACACACACAGACACACACACTTCACCTCCCGTTATCCGTCTCTCGCCGCCGCCTCCTCCTTAAAAAATCCGTACACAGCGGATCTATCCGAAGCAATCACAGCAGCATGATTAAAAACCCTTCCACACGCACGAAGCAGAAAGCTCGCTGTGGATGTTCCCGAAAAGGGAATTCACCCGCGCCGACAAACGCACTTTCTGCTCCGCTGCAATGTGCATTTCGGTACTTCCTTTCGCGGTCTTAATAACGTTTCCCGGCTTGTCTTCAGCGTCCGAGTCCGCTGGGCGTGAGGTTGTGGAGCTACGGTATATATGAATGTGAAAGGCAAGTCAGCCCCCCCCCCCACAGAGAAAACAACGATTCGATAAGGTCACCCCTGGGAACAGACTGCTTTGGGACACCCACCTGCTGGGGGTGTCGTGATATAATGATTCAGGGAAGTTAGCCGGTTCTGTACAGGGTCACTTCGCCTGTGACCAGTGCTGTCCCACCTCTGTCCAGTTCAAGTCTCCAGTGCAGGATATCCAAACAGCCACAGTCAAGGGTCACCAATCAGGACTACTGTTTTTTTGTTTTGTTTTTTCCAGTGTAGGCTTCCTGTTTTGGAGGGTCAGACACTGCAATCCAGTCGCTGAAGAGCATAGAAAGCCAAACGTCTGTCAAAATAAGAGTTCAACAGAATTGGTGGACTGAAAAGCGAATGCAAAGTTTTGCAGCGGGGGAGGTATTTACTGTTGCACAGGGCTCTGAAAGAAAGACATCTGCCAAACTGTTACACTGGCTTGATGGTTGCTACTGTACATCCATTGCTACACCCATAAAGGTAATTGTTGTTCTTGGGGTCATGCATCCACCCCACTGACTCTGGACCGGGTATGAAGTCAGTGTGGCTGGGGCGTGTTCGTGTGGATGCTGTGGAAGAAACACAAGAAGTTATAAACGAGAGGAGGCCATTTGGCCCATTAAGGCCTGTTGGTATGTTAGTAGTTAATTAATCCCAGGATTTCTTTCTTGAGAGAAGCTGGGGGGTATCAACAGGGTTTCAACACCATGGCCGGGCAGCTTGTTCCACACTCCCACCACCCTTGGGGTAAAGACGCGCCTCCTGTTCTCTGTTTTAAGTGCTCATAGTCTCCACCCGTGCCCTCTGGTTCGTGTTTCCCTGCTCCTCCAGAAGACGCCCGCTGGGTTGGGTGGTCTTTGAGGATTTTGACTACTTGTGTGAAGTATTGTCCACCCCACTGGGAGTAATGGGTTTGCTGGACACACCCTCACTGAGAGGAAGCAGGCAGAAGGGACAGTGACACACCTTTCACTGATAAGGGAGGTAATGGGTAACACTGTGTCATTTGTTTGTTTCATTTTTCGAAAAACCATTCAAAGCTACAGGCACAGGGCTGAATTCATCATCCCAAACCCACCCCTGACTGAACAAATGAAGGATACGAGGGCAGCTGGGAGAGAGACTGACAGACTGGCTTCTGGAAAGGTCAGAAAGTCCTCTCTGTCCCCTCCTGTATCTTTCCATGTGTGAGCTGAGTGCACTACCTCTTCCTGCTAGTCTGTCTTGTATGTGTGTCTGTGAGTGTGTGCTGGTCTGTGTGTGTGTGTGAGCAACAGTGTAATGTATGTTAGTGTGTGCGAGTGTCTGTGAGTGAGTGTGAATGTTTGTGAGTGTTAGTGTGAATGCGAGCATGAGTGTGTGTGTGCGTGAGTCTGTGTGATTGTGAGGATTGTGAGTGGGAGTGTGAGTGTGAATGTGAGTGTGTGAGGGTGAGTGTGTGTGAGCGTGCGTGAGTGTGAATGCTAGTGTGAGTGTGTGTGAGTATGTGAGGGTGAGTGTGTGAATTGAGTATATTCCTCTTTGATCTTTCTGACACAGTGAAAGGCTGAGCACTTTGCAGGCAGTGTGAGAGTGTTTTAGAAATGATTGTCCAGACCAGGATGCAGTTGTGCCCCAGTGCTTCTTGAAGCCCTGCTTGGAGTAGGGGACATGTTTAACATTCCAGTCTGCCTATGCTCCACACCAGCCAGCGATCCACAGCGCAGATAGACCACCTTCTGCTGCAGGGAGAAGTTTCTCTGAATGCTGCTGTTACATGGGCTGTTACATATCCTTGATCAGGGAACTGAAATCGCTAGTCCTGGATTTCACCCCAGCTGAGATCCTCCCTCCACAACAAGTTTCAAGAAATGAAAAGCCATCGCCACCTCACCCTAGTTCATCCTCAGCACTCGGACCACGATCAATAGGATCGTGTTGTTATAGTGTTTGTTTAGAAATTGACCTTTATAGATTCCAGCTTAAAATGTAGTGTGGTTTGGGTCAGTAGCAAGTGTTGTAATTAATGGCCAAAGTCACTGCTATGTACAGGGAAAAGGTCACATAGAGATGTTATGTGTAAGAGAAAATGTCACCTGTCTTCATTATGTGCCAACATTTGATTCAATTGGTCTGACAACTGAATATTCCGGGTTTAAGATCTTGTAAGCACATGTCCAATGAAAACGGAGAGAACATGTATATTTGGTCAGAGAGCTTTAGGTGATGAAAAACCTTAAAGGAAGGCTCAATATGGGCAAGTGTGCTTGGTCAGTTTCTGTCAGTGTCACGGTTGTAATCCCTCTCCCTTCAGGGGCGCTCTTTCCCATTTTAGTTGGTTTTGTGCGCCTGCCCCCTGTTCCAGCCCTTCCCTACAAGAGCCAGATGCTCCCACCATTCCTGGCTCTGCACTGGAAGACGGCCGCCCGGAGGCCCGCCTA